GGGTATATGTGAGCCATTTATATATAAGTAGGGGTATATATGAGCCACTTTCATAACGAGGGGTATATCAGCTCTAAATGACAAAGTTGAGGGGTATATCAGACCCTTTTCCCAACAAAGTTTAATGACTTTACAAAATAAATTTTTAAAGTTGAGTGAGCTTTCAAGATATTAACTCATTTTATTCATGCATCAGTGTAAAATTTGAATCTGCAAATATTTGGTTATAAAGATATTCTCCCCTCATATAATTGTAATACAAGTAATTAAGTATCATCACATTTTACTAATGAAGGGAAATGAGATCTCTTACCTTGGTAAAATTTGAATAGAAGAAAATAATTTTTTAGATTTCTTAGGTGTAAAATCAGAGATTTCTTATGAAAAACTTAAAACTAAAAAAAGTTTGTATAGGCTAGAAAATCATTTCTCCCAATATAAAGAATTTTTTTGCTACTCTCCAATAAAATTCTCAGATTTTTAATATTGAAGGAAAATGTGTAACTATACACGTAATGTGATGTTCATCAACTCAACCTATATAAGTATATATACAACTACAAGTATATATTAAATTACTTAAGACAATACAATTACTTAGCGCTCTTCTCCATTCTTTGATGCCTCGTCTCCAAGTGACCACCAACATGTCTCTTTAAAGAGAAGATTAAAAATGAAATTCTTCGCTGGAACGCTTGTAAAAGGATTCTATTAACTAAACATATTTTACAAAAATAAGTATCCCAAAAATGTTATAAGTACTAATAAACATGCAAGATCCATCATCAAGAACTTATAAAACAATAGCAAGTTGTAGAAATGAAATTCTTTTCGAGTTAAAATGTTTGAAAATAAACATTCAAAAAAATCCAGCAAAACGGCGCAAACTCTATTTATTAATTTTTTTTCCTATTTTATTTATGAGAATAAGGGATTAGATGAGAAAAATTGCAAAAAAAAAAAAGAACAAAAAAGAAAATTCTAATTGCTGGCTATTGAAGGTGCCACATCAACTTTTTCTTTTTTCTCCTTTATATATATACTAGACATCAGAGCCGTGCTAGCACGGGCACGATATGTATCATTTTTTGTTTCAATTTATGTGACAAAGACAAAATTAAAGAGTTAATCAAACTTTAATATTAATTTAAACTAGTTTAAATTTTTAATTATTGTTAACTATGGTAAAAAAAAATTTATGTCTTTTAACATTCTAAATTGCTAATTATTGTTGTATGATTTGTAATATCTTTTACGCAATTTTGAAATAATAAATGTTATTTCTTCTTTCTCAATTTATGTCGTACTAATAAAATTTCTACGTCATTTTCAAATAATAGATGTCATTTCTTCTTTCTCAATTTATGTAGTACTAATTTTTTTTTGAGATTCAATCAATTTTTTTTGTCTTTAAAATATTCTATTGTTAATTACTGTAAATTATTGTACTTTCTAAGTAATTTTCAAATACTATATATTTTTTCATTTGTGCAATTTATGTGTCACCGATAAAATTTGAAGAGTTAATCAGATCTTTTACATATTTTTATATCTTTTGAATATTTAAGTAAATAATTATTGTGATTTATAATATTTTATACAATTATTTTTAAGAAAATTAAACAACAAACAAAATGAATTCATCATAGAAAAATTACCAAAGCATCCTTGAATACATCAATAATGGGTCCCACTTTTTGTTTAAAAAAATATGCATATATATTGGGAAGATATTTTTATCCAAAGTGGAAATAGAATAAGTATAAAGCATTAAAGTCTTTTAAAATTTTAAATTGTTAATTCTTATTGTATGATTTGTAATACTTTTACGTCATTTTCAAATAATAGAGGTCATTTCTTCTTTCTCAATTTATGTTGTACTAAAAAAAATTTAGTAGATTCAATCAATTTTTTTTGTTTCTTTGAAATAATTTCTTAGCTGTTAATTACTGTAATTTATAGTTCTTTCTTAAGAAATTTTGTAAATAATATATATTATTTCATTTGTCCAATTTATGTGTCACCGGTAAAATTTGAAGAGTCAATCAGATCTTTATATATTTTTATATCTTTTAAATATTCAAGTAATTAATTATCGTGATTCATAATATTTTATACAATTATTTAGTATAGTAAAATAAATTTAAAAGAAACAAACAAAACGAATTCATCATAGGAAAATTACCAAAGCATCCTTCAATACATCAATAATGGGTCCCACTTTTTGTTTAAAAAAATATGCATATTGGGAGGATATTTTTGTCCAAAGTGGAAATATTGTGTAAAAAATGTGTATTTATTGTGATTTTGAATGTTTTGTGGGGTAATAGAACGCACGCAAAGTTAAAGTGTCTTTTTGAAAATCTGGGACAACTTCAAGTATCACTTAATGTTTTTTCTCAAAATCTAATTTACTTTCGTAAACTATGTGTCAGATCAAAATCAGATTAACAAATTCAAAAGGAATGAGTAATAAATAGCTCATACAATGACATATTTATTATTTAAAAGAAGTACTCATTTTAATTGAAAGCTAACAAAATAGTTACAATGTAATTAAATACTATAAAAATCTTTGTATGGTAGCTTATTATATATAGATATCATTCTCATCCCCTAACAACAACAATTATGAATGCTACTTGTTTTTTTTTTTTTGTGGTGTAATGTGATTACTATGAATGAGTTAAGCCAACAGCTAGCATCGTGTGTGCACGACAGCTGTTTGTATTCTGGAGCTCTCCTTTTCCTTTCTGTACAAATATTTATATTCCATTTTAATTTGAAACTTCTGGACGCACTAATAACAAAAAATGATAGCAAGCCAACAAAATGAAAGAAAAGGAAAAAGGACAACAATGAAAATGAAATTTTTATTTTTTACTTCAATAATACTCTACTGTCACTTTCATCTTCACATCGCACATTTAAAACCATATTCGGATAGATACATATACGATCAGGTAACTTTTTAATGATGTACCACACAATGGTAATTAAATAGTACTACTAGTAACTTATTGGCTTAAGAATAAAAAGTCTAACTTAAGTCGAATATCTTTTGAACCCAGTTTTCACCTTCACGAGATAGGGATCTCACTTGTGTATGTTGTTAGTTATTACGATAATAAGAATAACAACATACCGAATTCAGTCCCACAAATAGTCTGAGGATGGTATAGGGTATGTTGTTGTTCAAGAAAAAAGTCTTAGCAAAACAACTTTCTCATCAATACAATATATGTAAAATGATTTCTTCTGTTTTAAAAGCACTATAATTTTTTTTTTAAAATCATAAAACAATATCTGTCCACTTGGCAGCTATGTAACTTTGATTATCCTCCCTTTTTCTTAGCTTTAGAAAGAAATGACAAAGATAAAGCAAAAGCTGCTTGCCTAATCAAATGACTCTGTATTAGTGGAAATATATCTGAAAATAGGTTACATACTATAGAGCCAAAGTCCAAAGACACATTTGGTTAAAAAGAAGTTTGGTCAGCAAACAGGCAATGTGCGAAGGTAGGAATACCAAAGTCTAAACAAGCTAGGAGGCGCAAGGGGTTCATCCTCCTTAACGTCTTGCTTCTTTCTGTTTTTGAATTCCTTGGAAATTTCTGGCTCCTCTGCTACTAATCTCTTTTTAGTAGTATCACTATTACTTTAGTATATGAATAATGTTTTTTTTTACTTTGTTTTATTGTTAATTGTTGCTTCATTGGTTGTCTATATTGCCTCTTTGCTACGAGTTTTTTTACTTACTGCTTTGATATTGCTACTTTGTTGTTATATTATTAGGTTTCATTAGTTGTTCTTTTACCTCAAAAAGGTAGGGGTAAGATCTACATAAATCCTACCCTCCCATGTAATTTAATGTTGTTGAAAATTTCTCACCAGTGCACACCATATTCAACAACGTTGCAATATCTCTGTGGTGGAAGTGAAATGATGATCTGTTATTGCAGATTTCACTCAGAAAACTTGTGTTGCGAGTTCATCCCACTATGACAGAAACGAACAAGTTATGCCCCTGTTACATGACCATCCTGAAAGGGAAAGGGCGACGGGAGGGGTACATTCAGGGATAGTTATGTCAGAATCATTTATCATTCATGTGGTACATTAGTACATAAGTACAAAAATGAGTACATATCCAAAAGCCATATGTTAGTGCTAACTGCTAAATAAAGTAAAATAGTCTATCATAGCAAGAAAATCTACTGCTTATATATTTAAAATAGTGCTAACTTCACAAAAGGCGCATGCCTGATTTTGCGCCTGAAGGGTCCTAGACAAGAGCTGGGACCTTCTAGAGAAACCCAAGATAACCAAAAGAAAAGTGACAAACGAATGTGAAATTTCTGTCCATAACTATCACAATCATCAGTTACACGACCCCAGAAGGAAGACGCATTACCAGCTGTCCACCGAAAACACTGCAATAAATAAGAAAATGTAAAAGGTCATAGTCAATACAGAATGATGAGGAATGGCAGAGGATAAGAAACAGATGGACATGAGAGAAGCATATTTTACCTTTTAACATAGTAGTAACAGAAGTCTGCTAGGATAAAGGTTTGAACTATTTCAGATATCAAAACCATAGAAGGCCATAGACCATGACCCAATGCTACCAGCAGATGGCCGCGACTGTCCAAAACCTGTCACAAAGCAACCAAAAAATCACAAGGTTGTTTGAGCTAAATAACATGCTAACAAAATCCAAATATGTGAAAATTTGCCCAACCAATACATCAAACATCTTGATCAACCAATTAACACGTGTCGAAAGAAGAGTGAATTTTATTCACTCTTCTTATATAGTAATAATATATATATATATATATATAGAGAAAGAGATTTGAATATTTTTCCTTAACAATAATAATTATAAAGTAGTTAGTATAGAGAATCGAAAATTAAACTAGTCCATTGGATTATTATTAAAAATAACAAAAGGGGAATTTAATACACCCTCATGTTGATTAACAATTTTGTTTAGAACCAAACTCAATTAGATTATTCACTTTCAGTTGAACTCTCTATTATTTGAATAATAATATAAATTTTGGTCCTAAAGTAGGTGTATTGTAGTGCTAATAACAACAAATTTGTTTTACCTAATAAATTTGAATTAATCGACTGATAACTAAATTTATTATTGTCGTTAATTCGAATTTAGTCTGGCTTCAATTTGAATATCGAACCCGGATGAAAAATCAAAAAAAAAATGTCTGACATTTTCGTTTAACATTATATGGTTCACATGAGTTGTTGATTTTTTTATTTTCACCGTCACCTTGAAGGTTTGTGACTAAAATAAACAAATTTTTTTCATACAGTAAGAATTATTTTGATAATTGATTATACGAAGCATTAAAATAATCACAACTATTTCAGTGATTTATATATGAAGAACTAAAATAGTCCAACCACAGCAAAATAGTCAATGATGCCATTACATACAAACAAACACAAGTAAGAATCTTTTTTCACGAAAAACATTTTCCTTCGCTGCAAATACACTCTTAGAGTAAAATGATTTATGTTTGACACTGTTAAAAATTAAACGCTTACCATAATTTTCAAAAAAAATCGTAATTTTTTTTCTTAATTAAGTCCACCAAGCAAGTGTCATGACTGGCCTGAACCATCTCAACCCCTTACGAGCCTTGTCACAGGCAAGTTGTTGACGTTGCCCAAGAGACGGTTGCATTAAAAAAAGTATAACATACTATCTTCTTATTATTAACAATAAGGCACATGTATTCATATTAAAATTCTTTATATCTTCGTAAATAAAATAAAAAATTGGTTAGTTGCATAGTTCATGGGAAGCAAAAAAATATTTAAATTATAAAGATGTTGTTAATAATAATATTTCAACTAATAAGATAGAGTAGTAGTAAATATCTACAGGGAAAAAAAGACCAAATATTGACCTTGTAAACCTACATAGCATATAACACTATTTACTCCCAAAAAAAAAAAAAACAATCCAAAAAGGCTAAGTAATTAATTTCAAGATCTCAATTTTCTTATAAAATAATAAAACCCCATAATTTTTATGATCAAAATCTCAACATAATCTGGGATTCTAATTACTTCTTAATCTATATCTTTTTAAAAAATATATATATATATATTACAGGTACCTCTTTTTTCTTTAAATATTTTTTTTATACTGTATGAAAGATTTTTGTTTCAAGAGGTAATGCGTATAAGATAAAGTTTTTTGGTTTTTGCTGAATTGATTAAGGAAAAAAAATTATTGATTGGATTTCAGTAATGGGTATTAAAAAGATTCTTTTTTTAATTGATTTTTGCTTTGTTTCTGCTAAATTCATTAAGTATTTGGTAATCTTGATTTAGCAAAAAAAAAACTGATTAGATTTCAGTAATGGGTATTAAAAAGATCCTTTCTTTAAATTTATTTTTGCAGAATTTATCAAATATTTGCTAATTCTATTGAAATTATTTGTTTGATGTTAAAAAAAAATTAGATTCAGATCTGTAATTATTGCTAAGAAGGTTTGATTTCATTATCAGTTTTCCCCTTTTTTGTCTTTCTGTCTTTAATTTATTTTTATATTATTTTTTGCGTGTGTTGAAAGATTACTTTTTTAATTTAAAAAAATAATATTTTTTTTAGGTTTATGTAATTTCTCTCTCTTGTTGGTAACGTTTGGTGTGATGGGTATGTGGGGTTTTTGTTTTTTCATGTTCTATAAATTTGTTTGATTTTTTGCTAATTTTATTTGTATTCAACCTTTTTCCCTTCTGCAATTGTAATTGTACTAATCAAGGTGATGATTTTGAGTTTAATTTAGTTTTTTTTTGTTTTTGTGTTCTTCTCTTCTCAATTTTGGGAATCAAGATTTCAGCTTTTTGTTTTTTCGATTTCTGTTACTATCTCATTATTCCTTGTACCTCGATTATCGTGTCATTATATGTTTGATTTTTTGTACTTTTGACCTCTCACAAGTTGAGGTAACACTGAGTTTATATTGTGTGGGATTTTCGTAAAGTGCAATATTTTTGGAGGAATTGATACTCACATGTCAAACATTTGTTAAGAGTCTGAGCAACTTAGATTTTTCATGAGTTAAAGAGAAAATGGGTTTCGAAAAATTTCAACTTGTTATGTTTTTTTTTGGGTGTTTGTGTTAAGGGGTTGATTGGTCTTGGATTGTCTTGAATCTGTTATTCTCTTTTTTCTAGAATTTGATTGATTTTTGGTTACAGAATTGAAGTGATCTGAAAAAATGGCTTCCAATGGGAACAATCATGTATCCACAAAACCACCACCAGAACCTTCACCGTTGCGAAAGGCGAAATTTTTCCAGGTATTGCACAGAAGCCTCTCTGTAATGTGGTAAATCCAGTTAGTGTAGGATGTGCTTGATTGGATCTTAGTTAGATTTATATATCGTGTTTATAATAACCATTACGCCTCAATCCCAAGTATGTTGAGATCGGTTTTGTCCATGTGGTCCATTTAAGCCCGTTTCAGTCCAATTTTTTAAGATTCATCGCGAATTGACTAGTTTTACATTAGTTGTCCAACCCCCTCCTCTATCCTGGCTTGGGACTATCAATACTAGGAAATTCACACTGGCATAACTTTTACATCTCTTGTTTACACGGTGTAATTTCACAAGTGGGGTCTGTGGAGGGTGGTGTGTATGCTTAGTCGCTTACCTTACCCCTACGTTGTTGTGGAGGTAGAGAGGTTGTTTTCGATATAACCTTACCATTCTTGAATCACAGGCTAACATGAGGATTCTGGTGACTGGTGGTGCTGGATTTATAGGCTCTCACCTTGTTGACAAACTGATGGAAAATGAGAAGAATGAGGTAAATAGTTTTTTCGCGCTGGTTTTATGTTGTATAATCACAACTTACTGCGTCCTCGTAGATCAATGGTTAAATACGAGTGTATTTACATGAATTTTTTTTACATCGCGTTCAGGTGATTGTTGCTGATAATTACTTCACTGGATCAAAAGATAATCTAAAGAAATGGATCGGTCATCCAAGATTTGAGCTAATTCGCCATGGTAAAACCACTGCTTCTGGTTTTTTACTACTACTTGTTGTCTCTTATGCCTCTAGTTTCTCACTATCGTGCTGTTGTTATTGCTTTATGTCTTTATAAACGTTAGTGTTTTTGTTTATTGGAAACAACCTCTCTACCTGTCAAGGTAGGGGTAAGGTCTGCGTACACTCTACCCTCCATAGACCCTACTTGATGGGACTATACTGAGTATATTGTTGTACGTGCAGATGTTACTGAGCCATTGTTGATTGAAGTAGACCAGATTTATCACCTTGCTTGCCCTGCTTCCCCCATTTTTTACAAGTATAATCCTGTTAAGGTTAGTAACTCCAGAAGTTTCCTTCTTTTCTTTATGTCCGTCACACTAGTTGTTACGTTGCTCTGAAGTTACGATTTCTGTTGTTTTTCTACCAGACAATCAAGACAAATGTAATCGGAACGTTGAACATGTTGGGACTTGCCAAACGAACTGGAGCAAGGTCGGAATCATCTTCTCTCTGTACTTACTACTTAGTTCTTGGTAATGTAGATCCTCTATCTCACCATTTGTTGCTTGTGCAAAACAGGATTTTACTTACATCGACTTCTGAGGTTTACGGAGATCCACTCGTGCACCCTCAAGATGAGACCTATTGGGGCAATGTTAACCCAATTGGTACGTTTTTAACTTTATGATATTGAAGTAATCGAAATAGTGAATGGTCTCGTTCTTGAACTAAGATAAGAGAATCAGGTCGATCAGTTGAGGAGTCAGTCAGTATTTTCACTAAGGGGTTTGAAATATGAAAAAGTAAACATGTGATGAAGTCAAAGAAGGTTCAACATCTGCTAACTTTATGCAACTTTTCAGGAGTTAGAAGTTGTTACGATGAAGGCAAAAGAGTGGCTGAGACTTTGATGTTTGATTATCACAGACAGCACGGAATAGGTAAACCTTTCTTCTGTGAGCACATATGTTTTCGCGTTGCTTCCATCAAATCTCTTTTGATATGATCGAAAAAACAGAAATAAGGATTGCTAGGATCTTCAACACTTATGGTCCTCGAATGAACATTGATGATGGTCGTGTTGTCAGCAACTTCATTGCCCAGGCAATTCGGTATTGCTTCTGAATGTTTCTGTTAACAGTTTTCGTCAACTTTGTTACCTTAACTTAGTTTGATAGTAAGGAGCCAACTTTGTTTTTGCACACTGCAGTGATGAACCCTTGACTGTCCAGTTACCAGGAACACAAACGCGCAGCTTTTGTTATGTTTCTGACATGGTAAGAACTAATCTTTGAGTTTTATAACGATGGTGTCTGGGCCTACTTCCATGCACCTCGATTATACCACTTAGTACGTGTTACCTACCACCAACACAATCTAAGCAGATGGAAAGAAATCACCTATAACGTTCTTTTATCCTTTGGCTTACCTTCCTTTCTTGATGAGTAGGTTAATGGCCTTATGAGACTTATGGATGGAGAAAATACAGGACCAATTAACATTGGAAATCCAGGTTATTTCGCTTCCAATTCCTCTCTATTTAACTCGTAAAAAGGTTAAAATTTTGATACATTATCGTTCATTACTAATTCGATCCTCTATCATCAGGTGAATTCACAATGCTTGAACTCGCGGAGAATGTGAAAGAGGTAACCCTTATATTAGTTATTTTGGCAAACGTTTAGATTTTACCTTTTCTCTTCCAATTAGTGAAGTGCTTAGGGATG